CTCTCTCTCTCTCTCTCTCTCTCTCTCTCTCTCTCTCTCTCTCTCTCTCTCCCTGTGCTGAATATGGGTCACTGAAATGTCCCAGCAGACAATTTGGACACTGAATAATCTAACCATTACATCACTGGTGCTTACTTTTATTTTCTTTGAAACACTTTAAGTTGAAACCCTTTTGAACAGTATTGGTACCCCTAAAATTTGATCCCACGAAGTTCACTAACGGTTAGGGAAATGGGGTTATTTTGTCCTTTTTTTGTTTTGTCCCCCCACCCCTCCCACAGAGAATATGTGGACTCACTGATATCTCTGGCGGCCGAGCGCTCTGTGATGCCCTGCCTGAAGGGAGAGCTGGACGACTTGACCGCGCGCAGACACAAAGCCAAGCGGGACAAGGAGGAGCTGAGGGAAAAGTTTGCTCGGATTCAGAACTTCAGAGCTCTTGTTGTGAGAAAACTACCTCTGTCAAGCTTAATTGTAATAAAGTTTTTAAAAATGTAAAAAAAAATTTTTTAAACTTTGAGAGATGTTGTCGTGCACTTCTCAGTTGCCTTTCTGTTACGGTCAAGGAGACTCCATATGCCATATGCCACTTTTGTCATTGTTTGCATAGCAATTCGTTTAAAATCACTCCCCACACCCCCCCCCACACACACACACATGCACACACACACCCCAAATTAAACATTATTCTTGCAGCGTTCTTCTGGTTCTCTCTCCATTCTTGATTGCTTTTTTAAAAATGCGATTTATCACGTGTCGTTTTGCCGTTTTTTCTTTCTTCCAGGAAAAGAAGCAGTCTGTGATTGGTGTCCTGGCTAAACAGAACAGTGGGGCACCGGACAGACTCAGGGATCAGAGACAACAGGTAGGGGGGACAGACTCAGGGATCAGAGACAACAGGTAGGGACAGACTCAGGGATCAGAGACAACAGGTAGGGACAGACTCAGGGATCAGAGACAACAGGTAGGAGATGACTGGTGTTGTGGGCGTGTTTTCATTCTGACGTCATTTAACCCTTTCAGCCCCATGCGCGCGTATATTTTCAGCTGTGCTTGTACCTCCCACCGTCCCTTGAGCTTATATTCTCAGTTTCGGGGGGTACAGAATTTTGTGCGTTTTTCGAACTTAGCGAACCTAATTAAACTTTAATTTTTATAATATATTTGTTCATCTACCTTTAAACATTGTTATATGTTATCTAAACCTCATTACAGAGATACTGCATCATTTTTTAGAATGCATGTTACTTTTTTTCTGAAACACTGCTGTGTTGGCTGGGACTGGGGTTAGAGAGGGCACAAAAATTGCTGGGGCTGGAAGGGTTAAGAAGCGGGCTACGTTGACCTTGCCTGTCATGGCCAACGCGACTGAATGAGGTATCGGACAAAAGATCTCCCCATGTCGGATTCTTACTCCCTCATTTTTGGAGTGTGACGGTAAACGGCCGAACCATCACAACTTTAACATTGGTATGTGCATGGCCGAGAGATATTGGTTGTGGGTGGTTGGCAGGCGCTCTGGTGGGGTTTACTCCTTCTTTCCTGTTAAACATCTATCGTGTTTATCTCCCCTCTTTTTTTGTGTATGTTACTCTCTTGTAACACATCTAATCTTCGGCACTTATATGACCTTATTGTGTTGCAAGTGCCGTAAAACTCTTACCACCAAAAAAAAAAAAAATAACCTGAATAAAACATTTGGTTGGATTGTTATTCTATTTTTCCTTGTCTTGGCAAAGGTGCTGAAGTACATCACGGAGCGCTCCATGGCTAGTCACGTGACGGAAGTCCGTACGTTGTCCGACGGCCTCAGGAACAGTTTGAGCGCGGAGGTGGAGAAGTTCTCCCAGCTTTTGTTGCCATGTCTTCTAGCTGTCAATTTGGACAGGTGAGTTTGTTTTGTTTTTCTGTGGTGAGTGGGGGGTTTTCTGGGTCGTTTTTACATAGGTGAAGGTATGTTGTTGGGTTTTTTTTTGTTGTCTTAGAAGGGTGAGTTTTGTTTTTTTCTGTTGTCTTAGACAGGTGAGTTTTGTTTTTTTCTGTTGTCTTAGATAGGTGAGTTTTGTTTTTTTGGTCTCTAAGATGGGTGAATATTTTTTTACTCAATGTTTTTAGGTAAAATCCACCAAAAAATGTGTTTTTAAATGGACATAAAAGTAAAAAGGTGTTGAGCGAAAAAAAGAAAATAAGAAAAAAATTGCCCATTGGCAAAAAAAATGCTGATTTCTTTGATTTCCTTATTTTGACGAGAGCCTGATATCACCACAATGCCTCACATTTAGTTCTGAGGCGACGATATGTCCGTTGACATAAAGCGTAATGAATGCTCCTGACTTTTGTTGTTTGGGCTCCCTCTCCCAGCACGACGCGCCGGTGTGTCCTTGACCTCTCCCTGGCTCCGTCCCTGCACCCGGTCTCCTTTGAGAAGTCACAGTTTCACTGCGGCGTTTGCTCCACTCTTGGCTTTCCTGTTTTCAAGGTATTTATTGTTTCAGTTTTTCGTTCATCGAACAGCTGAAAATACAAGAGCCTAGATGGCTTGAGAAATAACAATAGAGTTGTTTTTAAAGCCTTAAGAGGGGGCTCTCGTGACCTAGAGGTTAAGGTGTTGGCCTCTCATTCAAAAAAATTTTCTTCTCTAAAATTGTCTCCTTTCACCTCCTTTCCAGCTCTCTAGCACTGTTCTGTTGTCTGCTTTCATTTCCACTTTCTGCCCCCACCCCCTCACCTCCTTTGCCCCCTCCTCTGGGCTCCTGACTCTTTCTGCAACCTTTCTACTGCTACTCCTTGGCTCCTCCTTACTGCTGTCTTTCTGCCACACCCCTGATCTTCTGGTAGGAAAGATCTACACCTAGCCTTCTCGGACAAGGGCGAAAAATCTTGGAGGGCCCGTGTGCAAGTTGCGCACGTTAAAGATCCCTTGGTGGTCTAAAATCGATAAGAGTAGGCTTCGGCCGCCACCCGGGCAAAATTCAAAATTTCCTACCAACTGAAAATATTAGGTGTGTCCCGCGCGCTCATATGACCTTATGCAGTTGTGAGTGCCGTAAAGCACTTTACAGAAACAAACAAAACAAAACAAAGCCTTAAGAAACTACAGGCTGAAGGGTCAGAACTCAGATGGTCGCTGGATCGGAAAAGTAAAAGTGAAGTAAAGTAAAGCTTTAAGAGAAAAAAAAAACAGCTTCAGAATGCATCTTTATAATATGGAGGATCAACTGTGAATGAACTTCCAAGTTTAATAGAATTTCTCAGGTAGGGGTTGTTTTTGTATTTTTGTTTGTTCAGCACTTATATGACCTTATTGTGTTGCAAGTGCTGTAAAACTCTTACTTAAAAAAAAAAGACTAAATGACTGTTACTGTGTTTGACGTGCATCCGTCTCTTCCTCCTCCCCCCCCCCCTTCCCCAGTCCGTGGACTGCCTGCCAGACCACGTGCTACACATGCAGCGTCAGATCCAGAGACTTCACTTTCACCAGCGGAGGAGTCAGAGCTTTGTGGAGGCGGCACGGGAGGCTGCAGGGGCCGGGGACGACGTCGATGCCATTCTAGGTGTGTGATCTGTCGGGTTTAGAAGTGACGGGAATAATTGGTCACTTTTTTAACCTTATCCGTACGTCGTGTTTTATTATCGTATCCTATCCGTACGATGTGGGGAACTCTGTGCCACCACTTTCCAAAAAAGAAATTTACTTGTTAATCCGATCTGTACGCTTTGCATAGCAGTCTTACAAAGGATTTTTTGAGAAATACTGAAAGTTTCAAAAAGATCTTCACTCTAGAAGTATTCTAAAATGTGAAGAATATATCCCTGGGGGTACAAAATGACCCCAGGACGTACGGATAGGGTTAAGGATAAGCGGGTTAACCCAGATTTCGGGGGTTTCCAGAAGTCTTGACCTCCACCGAAAGTGGGCATTGCCCTACCTATTTACCTATTGGAGAAGTTTGGTTTCATTGGTGTGTATATTTGTTTGGTTGTCGAGAAAAGTCTCCTTGTCTTTTAAAGAAACTGAACAAGGGGCAAAAACTTTACCTTCGATTTTCTCAAAACGTCTTTTTTGGGGATAGCCCCCTTGTGCTTAAAAGAGACCAATTGATCGTTGCTGTCATATAATTTTTGAGAAAAATAGTTATTCCAGTTTTGTGGTCTGTTGTTTTAGATGTGAGTGGAAGGACCATTTCTTTCGTACAATGTTAAAGTTATATATATATGAATGAAATAGTAATCCCAATTTTATGGACTATTGTTTTAGATGTTACTGGAATAATCGTTGCTATCATATAATCTTTCATTTTAGATTTGAGTGAAATATTTCTCCCGATTTTATGGACTTTAAAAAATGTGAATGGAATAATTGCTGCTATTCTATAATCTTTCGTTTTAGATTTGAGTGAAATAGTTATCACAATTTTATGGGCTATCATTTTAGATCTGAACTAATACTGTCATGGCCTGTAGTTTTATATGTGAATGAATATTATTGCTATCATGCAAAGTGTAGTTTTTGATGTGAGAGAGATGGTTATCCCAATCCTATGAACTGTAGTTTTAGATGTGAGAGAAATGGTTATCCCAATCCTATGAACTGAAGTTTTAGATTATGTGAATCAATGTTATCATGTAAACTAGTTTGAGATGGGAGTGGAATAGTCATTGCAATCACATGTGATATTAACATGTTCTTATGCCCAGTAGAATTGCAAATAGGCTGATTTATCAATGTCATCTTCATAGTACTGTGCTGGAACAACATAGGGGGAACTGCTGCTTTTTCTTTCCTCATCTTTACTACCGTCATTTTCCTCTACTTCTTTTATATGTGGGGGTTTTTTTGTTACTTTTTTGGGGGAAGTGTTTTACAGCGCTCGCAACTGCATAAGGTCATATGAGCGCGCGGGCCCCACCAAACATTTTCAGTTGGTAGGATATTTTGAATTTTGCCCGGGTGGCGGCAGAAGCCTATTCTTATCGATTTTAGACCACAAAGGGATCTCCAAGATTTTTCGCCCTTGTCTGAAAAGGCTAGGTGAAGATCTTTCCAACCAGAAGATCAGGGATGTGACTGAAAGACAGCAGTAAGAAGGAGCCAAGGAGTAGCAGTAGAAAGGCTGCAGAAAGAGTCAGGAGCCCAGAGCAGGGGGCAAAGGAGGTGGGGGAAGAAAGTGGAGACGAAAGCAGACAACAACATTGTTAGGGAGCAGGAAAGGAGGTGAAAGGAGACGATTTCAGAGAAGAAAATTTTTCCGTTGCTACCCGGATTCGAACCCGGGACCTTTGAATGAGAGGCGAACACCTTAACTTCTAGGCCACAAGAGCCCCCTTTTGTATGTTTGTCACTCTCTTGTGAACTGCTATTTACTGGGGG